GTTGCTTTGTATGCTGTGATGGGTAGGAGAGATGAAGTGAAGGGCGCAGGCCCCTCACACCCTCCATCTTGCCTCAGACTATGTCCTGGAACCCTAGAAAAAAGGGGAAAGACCCGAGGTAAGGAAAATGCTGCAGCTCGCCTGGGGGGGGGGGGGAGTCCTTCAGGAGCCAACCCCCACCTAGCCCGTCGTCTCCCCTCACATTTTTAAGCACACTTGGGTTCCAGACTCTGCCCCCTCCCTCCCGTCTTTCCTCTCTGGATGGTGTTTGTGGTTCATCCATAAAAAAAACAACGTCGCTGGCTCCGGAACATGGAAATAAGCCTACATCGTTCACTACCATGCCCTTCCCCCAAACCTGCCTAAATACCGCCTCGGCCTCTGGGAAAGTGGGGCCCGATCCCCCATATTTGGTGGGCACAGTCACGCCGCGCTGGTGCTGGCGTCAACGCCTCCCTGTAACCAGACCCTGTAACCTGGGCCTCTAGCTACCGGGAACCTCAAAATGGAGCCAGAGGAGGACCCGGAAGCCCACCCACACTGGATAGGAAGCCGCATTGCAAGGCACTGTACAGGGTGCGAACACAGGGGCCCGGCTCTGGACTAAGCTCGGCTCGGCACTCGCTGACTTGACGTCCCCAGGCCTGCAGGCCCTGGCGCGGCCTCACCACCCGGCTCTCCCGGGCCTGGGCGCCACTGCCCGGACCGTTACCTGGGGCGGAGGAAGCGCCACTTTCACTCCTGCTTCTTGGGATTGTTGACTGCCACGTAGTGGTAGAGCACCACCAGCAAGAAGAGCGACACGCCCAGCATGTTGGCGAAGATGGCGAGCTGCACGTCCGTGATCATCCTGCGGACAAGGGGAGGGACTGAGCCTCGGGCCGCGCTCTCCCGGCCCTCCCCGGGCCCGGTCGGTCCTCGCCACCGCGGTCCAGCCTCCGCCGGGCTCGCGTGGGACACGGCGCCTGCGAGCCTCTCACCTGACCGGCTCGCCTCGGCTCCGACGCTACCGCGGCACAAGCTCCAGGGAGGCGACCTGAGCCGGAACTCCGTAGAGCCGGCCGGGGAAACAACGAGGCACTTCCGGCTTCTCTACCACGCCGACTCGTCTGCTCCGGGCGGCGCGCGTGCGCGTGCGCAGACACACACAGAACGGGTCCTGGGCGGAGCCTCGGGGCCGCCCAGCTGCGAGGGGCGGGTATTGGGCGGAGCCTCGGGGCCGCCCAGCTGCGGTGGGCGGGTCTTTGGGCGGAGCCTGGGGGCCGCCCTTCTGCGGGGGGCGGGGCGGGGCTGCGATCTCGCAGCTGGCGGCAGCTGGCGCGGGGAGAGCCGCGGTTTGCTGGCGATGCTGTGCTGGCAGCCTCCCCGGAGCCCAGGAGTGGGCTAGGGCGAGGGTGCTGCGGGCGGGAGGCCGGGCCTGACCCGCAGGCTCCGACTCACTGTCCTGCACGCTGCCACCCTTCGCTTCCCTGCCCGACCCAGCCAGGTGCTTCCTTTGGGTCCTGCCCTCCCGGTCCCCTCCCAGGCTCGCAGGCGGTGGGGATGGAGTGGAAGGTGGTGCCGAATGGACAGGACTGAGGACGCCGGTGCTCTCACGGGTGCTAGTCTTTCTGAAACCACGTCCTACCAAACGGGCGGATCACTGACTACTTGGCCAGTACCCGTCTCAGGCGGGCACCCTGCCTCCATCCCACTCCTGGAGGTGGGCGTCGAAATTAGGGCGGACCCTCTCATAATCAAAAACCAAACGTGGGACCTCGGCCAAGTGGGAAATCACCCCCCGGATGTGAAGGAGGGGGTAGGAAAGGAAGGGCTGGGATAAGCCAGAGGGGTCGTGGGTTTGTGGTGAAGAAGAGAGTTGACTGCAATAGACAAACAGACATCCGAGGGTCACTGGTGAGGGTAGCAGCACCCTGAATCTCTACAACCCTCTCTCCAGCTAGAAACGGGTTTCCCCTTTCTTGCTCTACCTTCGCCATAAAAGGGAATGATGTGGAGCCAGGCAGGGCCGGGGGCTGGACCGTTCGTTGCTCTGGAGCTGTCAGGGGTAATGGAAGCCAGTTGCTTTGCGGTAGAGGGGGGCCAGGGCTCGGGGGAGGCCTCTGCTTCTCTGAGCCAAAGAAAACTGTACGGGAGCTGCTATAGGTCTGGAACAGCTGGGACAGGGGACCAAATTGCCTCCTGTGTGCACAGTGAGCTGAATTTGCACTATTCCAATGCTGCTTTCTCTGGTCTCGGACCATCAGCAGTCTGTGTCCAGCTTGCTCCTAAACTCAATACTTGCCTTCAGTAGTTAGTTTATAGTTTTCCATGCCTCCTCCCACTTCTTGCCCCAGCCCTCACCCACTGTTTCCCAGAAGTTTCATATTTAGAAATCCCAGGCCTACGTGCCCTCCACATAACAGGGGTGAAAACCCAGACGTGTTTTCCCCAGGCACCCCTCCCTGAGCTGGTGTATCCCCAGCTCCGCCCTGAAAGAATGATGTCTAGATTTTAGGATTACACATTAGTATGCTTCGTGTCTCCTGGAAAATGGGAGCAGATCCAAGTTCAACCATTTAGGTATGCTATTGAATCAGAATTCGACTATAGTTTTAAAAGAAGCTGAACCTTAAGAGAAGGCCCAGGGAAGTGCTTCAAGATTTCAGGTGCAGAGCATCCTAGACAACCACAACCGAAAGGCACCTCATTGATCTGTTATTGTCATTTTATGTGCTTATTGGTAAAGAAGGAAATAGGCCCAGAAGGTAACCTAGTCAAGGTCCTACAGCTGGCTGAGGACACCTGTTCTACCTACCCGCCCCCGTCCCCCCACCCCACACACACACACAGTAGAGAGACTTAGGAGGTTGTCCAAAGGTCAGGGACAAACGGGGAAAAGATTTATTTTAGAATTACCCAGAAACATCCTTCACCTCCCTTTCCCTTCCCGTGCCTAGGTCAGTGAGTCTTTATCAGCCTTCACTGGGTCATTTGGCCTAGTGCCTAAAGGAACTGAAATAAAAACTGACCTCAGGACTGAACTAGACTCGGCTAAGAAATGACAAAGCTTGATTTAAAAAAAAAAAAAATCCTGGATGGAAAAGTATGTGGGAAAGTGAAGCAGGCCAAACCTCATCCTGGCAGGATTTGGGGAAGGTGGTAGTGAAACACTTATGAAACGTACTCTCTAATTAATATGATGGTTTTATTGTTGTTGCAATTTAAATAGAGCTTCACTATGTAGCTCAGGCTGGCTTCGAACTCAGGATTCTCCTGCCTTTGCCTCCCCAGTGCTGGGATTACAGGACATGAGGACCAGGGTCAGGTTTAGCAGTGAGAAATACATAAGATTTGGGAAAGGAGGAAGACTGGTCCCTGAGTCCCAGGATGGTCAGCTCCTAAAGTATTATACCTGGAGAAAGGCGCGCGCGCACACGCACGCACGCACGCACGCACGCTTGCATTTGGACAGGCATGAAATTTGGCTTGAATTCCCAACTGTGTTGGCATGACACAAGACCCAATTCACATGATTCCCCTTCTTCCCACCCACTATTTAGTTTTTTAACAGAAGGCCTTAGACGTAAAACACTCCTTATTTCTGGAGCCCCTGCTATCCTGGCTCTGAGAACTTCAGTTCCTTGCTAAGTCAGTGATGGCTGAATGAATGAATTGCCTGTGGCCAAGATGTCCCATAGGCACTAGGTCACCGAAAATCCCCCACCTTTACAGTTGTTATAAAGTAGAGTCTGTCCAGGCAGTGGTGGCGCACGCCTTTAATCCCAGCACTCGGGAGGCAGAGCCAGGTGGATCTCTGTGAGTTCGAGGCCAGCCTGGGCTACAAAGCGAGTTTCAGGAAAGGTGCAAAGCTACACAGAGAACCCCTGTCTTGAAAAACAAAAAAACAAAAACAAAAACAAAAATAATAGACTTTGTCTTACTACAAGGTCGTAGCTTTTTTTTGGTGAGCAATTCTGGCCAATGACTTTGGAAAGTTGTGACCGCCTGCCAATACTACCACAGCAATGCCACTGCCACCATTACTACCACTACTGCGTCCTTGCCAACACTGGTCACCTTTGCTGCTTGCTCGCTCACCCTGAGGCCAGCAATGGGAAGTTTCACTGCCAGTGAATGGTGAGCAGGAGATTTCACAAACCTTCGTGTCAGAGCCTGGGCCTTGGCTTCTAATTACAAGGCTAAGAGAAATGCTCTTTTCAAAGCCAGCATTCACGACACATTTAAACCGTACAACAGAATTTCCGACCCAGGAGCACAGGAGGGGGAATGTGTGGGAACTGGGCAGTGACAGGAAGGCTAGGCTGATTTTTTTGTTTGGTGTGGTTTTTTCAAAACAGGGTTTCTCTGTGTAAAAGCCCTGGCTGTCCTGGAACTCACTCTGTAGACCAGGCTGGCCTCAAACTTCACAGAGATCTGCTTGTGTCTGCCTCCCAAGTGCTGGAATTAAAGGTGTGTGCCACCACTGCCTGGCCTGGCTTATTGGTTTTGTTTTGTTTTTAAAAGTTGCCAATGGTCCCCTGAAGGGAGAGGAGGAGAAGGAAAATACAAAACTCGGGGCTGGAGAGATGGCTCAGTGCTTAAGAGCACTGACTGTTCGTCCAGAGGACCCGGGTTCAATTCCCAGCGCCCACATGGCAACTTACAACTGTCTGTAACTCCAGTTCTGGGGGACCTGACACCTTCAAACCAATACACATAAAATAAAGTGAAATAAATTATAAAAGAAAATACAAGCCGGGCGGTGGTGGCGCACGCCTTTAATCCCAGCACTCGGGAGGCAGAGCCAGGCGGATCTCTGTGAGTTCGAGGCCAGCCTGGGCTACCAAGT